ATATGTATCACTTGACTCGTTGACTTTTTTTGCAGAAGGTTAAAGCGGTTAATTGTGCCAGTCCGAAATTCGCGATACTTATAAATAGCAGTGAATCAGACGAATATAAAACGAGCCACTTCACATAAAATGAATAAGGTCGATTGTCAACATGTGTTCGATGAAACTATAAGTTATGAAGTCCTGGTACCTCAGTTAATGTAATAGAGATTTTTTTTTTAAATTCGAAAATTATTGATGTACCAGTTATTTCGTAATTTAGAGAAAATTGTCCTTAAACACAAAAGAATGATGTAAAATCCCAAATACAAAAGTTTGGAAATACCTCATAAAGTATTATTATTTTCAAACTTATGTGAATAATCGATTTTCTAAAATCGATATTTGTCAGTAATCAGTGTTTAATTCGTTGGTGTTGTTTCGTTCGTTCCTCGGATATGTAAACGATCATGACGACTGGCCTGCATCCAATTGCAGCTCTTCACTGGGTCACTTCAGTGGCCACGTAAATAGGCCACCGATTACCAACCTATTGAATTACTTGACGCACTATTTTGTTTGCATTGAATAACGTCCAAAATTACTGAACCGATTTGATAAATTCTTTCACTATTCCGAAGCCACACAATCTCCGAGTGACATAGGCTATCTTTATTAGACTAGATTTTTTAATTCTGTACGGACAAAGTTGTAGGTAAATGCTATTTGATGATAAAGTTTCTATTTGACGTGCCTTCGTTCCTCTCGATCTATTTTTTATGGTAGCTAGAAAAGTATAACTTTAGAAAATGGTTATAACCAAAACCTTTAATATTAAAGTGTGTAATTCATACAACAGGCTCCTGTATAATATCAATTTGCTTCTAGTTTAAATGCTTGGAGTAAGTCCAACAAGGTATTGTGCGGGCATGCAGTTGGCGGGTTGGTTAGGTCATGGATCTAGGTTAGGTTAGCTCTCAAATCATTTAGTAAATTGATAAGGAATTCTACTTACGAAAACATACGAAAAATCTTAAAGCTCTATTCGAGCGTTTTTTATTCAGTTAAATATGTAAATTTTAAAATTAGAAGTATCATCCATTATATCTATGGTAAAATTAGAATACAAATTTTATAAGTATGCGGAAATAAAAATAATTTATAAATGTTTATTTTAATAACAATAAATATCAGTATTTCTAAATAATGAACGATACCGGAATGCTTTTTTAACAGCCATTAAAGCGATGGAATAAACAAGCATTCAGCCACCAGACTGAATCGATAACATTGTAAAAATAAACCGCGCACGCTTCACCTCCGTTATTCGAGATCGATTCGAGTGGCCAATAAAAAAATATTTAATACTCGCCGATTTAAAAAAAAAAACAGTTTTTAAAAATAGAACGCCACGAAAACGTCGCGTCATTTGAATAGTTAGAAACACGTGACTTGCTTTAGGAATTCAGAAGAGTCATGAATATTATTTAGCTCTACGAAGCGAATTTAATGTAAATTACAATGCAAAAAATATTGTTTATAATATGAGAATTGGCTAACTCAACTAAAAAGATTAGTACAGTGTACTACAGATAAAAAGGTCTTAAGAAGAGATATAAAAAGATTTCAAACGAAAAGATGTAAAAAGAACGAATACTTTTTTAGTTGATTTTTTCTTTAATTCTTATTTAAGGTGTTCAGAAACCTGCTCAACATATCTTCGAATTTAAATTAATAGTAACCGTCTTTTTAATTAACGTGAAAGGTGTAAGTTAATGGTCAAGTGCTATAATTAAGTGTAATTTAAACGAAATGAACTTGGATAAGGGTGGGATTTAACTATTCAATTTCCTTGTACCATAATAACTTAATTGATTTTTATAAATGAACTTTTAAAACCACCCTAATTAAGGTTATCCGAAACAAATTTAACAAAACACTCGTAGCCTTAAGTGTGCTTGAGAACAAGAGGTATTGTTATACTGGTCATTTAACGAGGGAAATAAAATTATCCAATTTACAATGAAATGTGAGTATTTACAAATATTCAGGAATAATAGTTCTAGCTATGTTGGTTATTCGTAACGTAAAATGTGACATTTGAGTCAGGCACGCGACAAACCAGGTGCATTAGGGGGCAATTAAAAAAAATGTTTATGCGGTTGCGAGGGCGCTTGGCCGCTTTTTACGATACGATTACAACGGAGTCCTGACCATTTATAGTCTGCGGCAGTCAATCATAGTCCATGCTCATACATATTCAATGAAACAGAAAGAGAATCGGAATATAATTAGATTGTAAAAGTTGGTAGCGCTTGAATAAGTTATTGTGATCGACAGAGTATACGTTACATGTAAATGTTAATAAAAAAAACTGGTACTTACTAAAAGGCACTCGAAATTGCTCAAACTTTTCTGTTGTAGATAAATGAATTCCTATCCTTTTCATTCTGTTTGAAAAAATCGAGACAACAATATGTTTGAATACAAGTTATTTGGTAGTTGAAACGCATGTTAACATTCATCATCGTAACTTCAGAGTAAGAGAATGTTAGTAAGTGCATTTTAACTGAAGCAAGCGAGCGCTTTGTCTCGTGAAAGCGACTCTTTATGGGTCACACGTGTTACTTGCATAGTTTATTATTTCACATTTTAAATATTTATCCCCATCCTAGCAAGCATTGTTCCCATAGGAAATTTTCACTAGAAACTCTTGTATACTTTACGTTATAAATATGATATATTATCGCCTCGTTCGCGACTTTATTGTAAAGAAAATGTAGTACAAACTCAAAGAATAAATAAAAGGAAATTTATATTAATTACATTTTAATTCAATCCAAAACATCTTAAAAAAAATGAACGAAATAACACTATCCAATGACAGTAGTGGTTTCACAGATAAGCTTAAATAAGGAAATTATTTTTGACAGATTTAAAATTAAGATATTGTTTAATTAATTAGTAAAGTTTAATTAAATATTAAGTTTATGTTTAAGTTGATTATCAATAAAACACGAATAAAATGACATTTTCTAAAAATGATTCCTAGCTAGATCGATTTATCGCCCCCGAAACCCCCTATATACTAAATTTTATGAAAATCGTTGGAGCCGATTCCGAGATACTATTTATATATATACAAGAATTGCTCATTTAAAGATATAAGATTAAGTATGTATCTCACACTATAACTATGTTGAAAAATAAATACCAATAATATTTGTTTAAACATAACAATAAATCGGAACGCATTAACATAACTATGACCATCTTTATGACACGTACATATATTAGTACTTATTAGTGTATTGAACAAAACAAAACACACTCATTTATCTAAATTTGTCGGTCTATTTGATGTTGATGATATTAGCAAATTAAGTTCAAACATATCTACGACATTCTACGATTCAAAGAATAACAGAAATAATCTTTGAAGTTAGTTGTTGTAACCACAGAGTATAAAAAGTTTTTAAAACATCTTGATCAGTAGTAAAATATGACAATACAGTAACTAAAAGGTAACGAAATATATTCGGTACAGAACTTTCGACTTAAAATACATTTAAAAAGTAGAAGTCAAAGTATTGCTTTTTAAAAATCTCTACTCTAAAACGCAAGTGAAACTAATACCCTCTTAAAACTTAATTTAAGTAAGCGTATCAAATTATTAGTACTTTGCACGTAAAAGTATGGATTTTCGGAAAAAAATGGAAGATTGTTCGGATAATATTACCCAATTTGGGTGGAACTTTAGATAAAACAGACTGGTTTTTCGTCCCTTTACAGCAAAACTGATATTTGATGAAATAGTTGCTCTTTATTACAATAATACCACATTTTTAAATTTCAAATAACTCTCTTTGCGAACAAGATTATAAAAAATACTGGAATGTTTTTTTTATTGGCAGAGTAAAAAGTACAACATTATGGAAAAAATAAAACTCGTTCATACTATCAAGTCGATAATTAATTACGTTTCGGACGAGTTGGAGGCCGACAAAAAACACGAAGGCTGTATAGTAACAATCAAACTTTATGGAGGCACGTAATTTCGAACGAGACTATATGTTAAACACAATTTTAAGTATCAGCGGCAAGTAATCGGATTCGGGGGCGGACTTGAGAAGACATATCGTAAGTAGTTAACCACGAGCTGGCATAAAGTTTGAATCGTGTAATACAAAAACATGGTCTGGTATTGCCTTTATCGTGTTTAAAAGTTGACGTAATTCGTTTACATCTCCTTTATAGGGCAACAAGAATTCAATGTGATGTTTACATTGACAAAAATACTTTGCTTTAAAACATAGCGACTTTGTCCTCGCTAAATTAAAAAAAAGTTAAGTCGCCTGTGTGTTCTTCTAGACAGTATTCTTCTTCTATACCAAACATCGAAATCCGTTTAACCAGTGACTCCATTTCTTCGTAACAAACATCCAACTATCCACTTAAACTTTCGCATTTATAATATTAGTATTCAAGGGTTGTATGAAGTCATAGTAATGCTATTATTGCGTCATAATGTAATGCATCAGAGTAGAGACTGGAACATCGTATGATAACACATTTGCTGTAATTATTCGTAGGGATAGATCGAAAGAGGATGAATATTATTCTATCCTTCTTTTCCCGTTAAAACTTAATCTTTGCAATAAAGGTTACATAAGGTCTGAAGAAAGCTTAGAAGCGTTGAAATTTTTTTTATATGTTTGTACGTGTTTGAATTCAAACCAGTATTAGTTATGTATTTACTTTCAAGTATATTTAAATAGTTTCGTTATTTAAAGGAAACTGTGGCAACTTTTTCCAAATATAAATCGAACTTAGTCTCTGAAAAATAAACGTATTTAAGTCTATATTGTCTTTATTATTTAAAAAAAAATTACGGACGATTAGAATTTACAATATTTCAATTTGAAACAAAGATTTAATCATTTTAATACGCAATAGATTGTATTATTTCAACGAGTTTTCCAAACTTGTAAAAGTATAAAAAACAATACTCTACCACTCACCGGACTTCCGTTTCTCATTAACGAGCACCAGTGATTTGGTCCTCTTGACCCTCAGCGAGCGTCGCCGGATCGACCTCATGAGGGCCTCAGGCATGCGGGAGAAACGGGGAGAGTCCACCCGTTTCTCCGGCATAAAGAAATTCTTCACAGCCAGCATTTTCACAGTCCTTTGCCAATTAGAACATCGTTCCCACACACAAAGTACTACAATTCCTATACCGAGACGTTTTCCAAAGTAATAAAAATGAGTTTACTGATAACACTCGGAAACAAAAGAGTAAATGTCGCACCTGTGGAAACTATTAAACATCAGCACAAGGTCACGCGAATCTATAAAATTCGCGACACTGTGCACATTTTTGTGTCCAATTCCCCACCCGAAGAAAACCAGATCTATTGTTTCCGATACATCACTATTCCGATCACGCGATCGCTATCCTGTCACCTTGCAAGGAACTGATCAATTTCCAGTTGCCGATATGGTCCGATGCAAGTTCGGTTGCTCCGAGCGCACGCAACACGTTCACTCGCGGCCGCGTTAAGCGAAGGACTGGCGTAGATATCGCGTGCGGCACACTGACTCCACCTGGCGCAACGCAGCGATACTAAGCCTGTTATCAGAGTACTGATGCCGTGCATATCACCGTGAGGTCGAAGATTTACCGCTTTATTGACGATGCTAACGAGGTTAGTACAATGATAATTGACCTATTATTAGCTATGTAATTAAAAGGTTGAATTGTTCCACAATGAAGTAAATCACGATCAGCATAGTTCAAACTATTTCGTAATCTTACGTCATATGCTAAAAAGTCAGAAAAGATACACAAAATGGAAAACAAAGTTCTTCAAAATCTTTAAACACGAGATATGACTAAATAACTGCCTAATTTAATAAATCTGTGAAACTATATCGTATGTATTTCACATTTAAATTAACGGCATGACTGAAACATGCTGAAGATTCATTCCATTGGATATGGCGCGGCATGTCACTGTATGTTAATAAATGAATTTATGTGCTCAGTGGCTGTCTGCGCGTAGCTTAATCACCTAACAAATTGCTGTAATTGCTTCGTTCTACTGAATTGAATCTGTTCAATTCAACAATGGTAATTAGATGCGTGAAATATTAATAATATTACAGTACTCTCGCTACATGCTTCAAGTTTAATTCAATGAAGTTCACAAAGCAATTTACAATGCTTTTAAAATATAATAAGCATACAACTTCATATTACTTCTATTGGTAACTATGTCCGCGACTTCGTCCGCATGAAATACTGTCTGAGCTGCTCGCGGTACTGGACAGTACTTGGACATTCCAACATTACTTTATTTTTCTAAAATAAACGTAGCCTAAGGTACTCCTTACATCAGCTACTTGTTAATAAAAGTCCCGTCAAAATCGGTCCAGCCATTACAGAGGTTAGCCGGAACAAACAGACAGAAAACTTTCCTTACAAAACTTTCCGCCGTGTGATATTTAACACTTTCTCCGTAATGTTTTAGCATTTAGCAATAATAAGTAGGTAAGGTACTGTTACATAACACGGAGTTTACGACTACCTGAAACCTAAACTATATAGTCTAGAACAAGATATTAAAAAGTTAGGCAAGACGGACAAACAAGGCTTTAAATGAAATAGCTGTCGGCTGCGACTCCGTCTGCAAGGAATTAAAAAAAAAACTAATTTAGTTTTTTAGTAGCATGTGTAATCTTCCAAACTATGTCCTTCCAGTAGTTCTGGAGGTCATCATCATCAGCTCACTATACATCCCCACCGAGGGGCTCGGACCCTACCCTGAGTTAAGGGTGATTAGGCCATAGTCAACCACGCCGGCCAAGTGCGGGTTGGTTGACTTCACACGTATCTTTGAATTACTTTTCAGATATGTGCAGGTTGCGTCACGATGTTTTCCTTTACCGTAAGGACGTCGGATAAATGTACATATGTAAATCGGATATCGAAAAACACATTGGTACATGGCGGAATTCGAACCCAGGACCCGAAGATTACAAGTCAAGTGCTTGACCCCTGAGCCACCGACGCCATTGGAGTTCTGGAGATACCTCATAATAAACATCCATACATGTAAACCTTCGCATTTATAATATAAGTAAGATTAAAGGATTTACAGGGTACTCGAGTGTTGGAATTTAAAGTGTGAAATAACATTTTTATTTCGCTGAATTATACAGACATAAAGCGTCAAGCGCTGTAGCGCTACATTGTACCACAATAACAAGAATCGTGCAAATTCTTATCGTAGATCGCAACGGCAAGCACGATACTGCGACTCGCGTTACACGGACCAATCAACTGAGACCTGTCTCCCAGTCATCCTACAATCACAAAAAGGACTTCTGTAATACAATCAGTACCATCTTCAGGGGTCAAGATATACTAAACGATATATTGCTTAGCATTTCCGTGTATTTATACGTCAATTTAAATCTTTGCTCAGATATTATACTACGTACACAATACAAATTTTAAACAACAGAACGATAGGGACAGGCCATTTATAAATGAGTAATAAAAAATATAGACTTTAGGTACAAATTATGGTGCACAAATACATTGGTATTGATTAAGGCATTTTCGTACTCTTCTAGTTATTTACAATTATATAACACGTACATACTTCAAAATAATAAAATCTTGTCCGATAAAATTTATCCCACACTACAATTATGGTGGATTCTCTTCGGCTATTTTGGATCTGTCGTCGCCCACGTCCATTCCCAGTGGTGGGTGCAAGACCGGTTGTCCACGCACTGTCCACAAACCTCAAAACATCAACGATATTTTATCCTACTCTTGTTATTCTTGTAATACACGATTTAGATTAATAACCGTTAGTTTTGAAACTAAAATTCTCGTTTAAAACATATTGTTATATCTGTTTTGTCATAGGTAATGACGGAGATAAACATACGATTTTTTTACAATTTACTCTATTTTACTAAGAGACCACACAACGAACAACTTCATTGTCTTATACGTAATGATAATAATATTTTCTTAATGAACTATTTGCTTTCTATGCAGGATGCTCCTCCGTCGATGAAATGTAGGCAACGCACATGTAACTGCGTGTATCTATGGGCAACGGTCACTTCGCTATTTCAGCGATTTCAGGTGGTCGCTCGCTCGTTTGCCACCTTATGATATAAAAAATGATATCTTTACTTAATAACTTATAGATACAATCCGAGCGGAAACACAACAGCAACTTTCTCCTACGCAACAATAATAAATCAAAAACAAATCACCAGGCGCCGTACCTGTTGCCTACGTCGATGTCCACCAACGCGCTAACAAATTTATTGCCCTACGATGATACGATATACAAATGTGTAAGGGATCATGACTAATTATTTTAATATAGGACCTAGAATAGTGCCTTGCGGAAAACCACAAGAATCCATACATTAAAGCGTATACAAAATAAATTGGATTTAACTATAGGATATTTTGTCTCTTTTGTCGTAACGGGACCTTAATGCCGAAATACATAATAGCAAGAAATATTGCATCTTCAAACAAAGACTTACAACTAGATATGATGAGAATTGGCTTCCTATTCCTTAAAAAGTACATCGATGAAATCAAACTGTGAATTTCCACTGTCAATAAACTTAAAGAAACAAAAGCAATATGTTTTAATTAAAGTGTTTCGACAATGAATACCTCTTGATATAACCATTACCGCTATAAGTACGTCGTATAGTGAACGATGAACTTGAATGAAGACTAAGAGTAGTTAAACATTCATTAAACTCGAATAAAAGTGTGGTCAGAATTCCCAACAAAGCGATAGAAGATTTTATGGCTGCGCTAGATTATGAATGATCGTTGTAAAACATTTTACGACAACCTTAAGAGTTTATAAAACTGTTCTTTGAAAACGTTGCTTCTAAATATTTTCACAAGTATATTAACTATTCATTGTTACGTTATAAATAATTTATCATCATTGTTTATATTTCCTGTCTGATACCGACTTAGGCTAATCCAAAATATAACTTTACTAGCTAGCGCCCGCGATTCCGAACGCGTAGAATTAAATAAATATAATTAGTAGCCTATGTGTTCTTTCAGACTATGTTCTATATGTATGCCAAATTTCATCCAAATCCGTTCAGCCGTTCTGGAGACACCTTCAAACAAACATCCATCCATCCAAACATTGGCAATTATAATAATAGTAAGATTTTATGCTACTTTTATTTTTGGTTTTATTACTCGTACTTTCGTTTAAGACTTCCTAAAATTACATATCAAATTGTTTCTATTTATACGTTAGGTAAGGTTTTCTCTAATTCTCCCTACGATAATCTTTAATTAGTTAACTACATCCGAAGATCCTATGTCATTAAAAGTATAGATCAGTTGATGATAAAATGTTATGTTAAAGAATAAATAAAATTGCACATGTGTGTACGCATGACATCATCTCTTAGTATAGCAATGCATTAATTTATAAGCAAGTTAATCAATTGCATCATTGCAGTGAGCAAATTATGTATGAGTAAGCATTTAAAAGCTAAATCTAAAAATGTACTTTTATGTATAAGAACCTGGCAAAAGAGGTCCATTGTTATGCTTTTTACCCCTAGATGCATCGCAAATTGACTTGGAAATAGAAACTTTTTTACGAGGATTTAATTAGAGTTCATTAATAATGCGTATTGTATGCAAGTGAAGTCATACAATATGCATTGTTCTCATTCCCCAGAATAGGGCTGTGACCTGTTTGTGACCTATTTCGTAGCTACGGCAGAAATAACTCGCGAGGCCTATTTCGGGAATGAATGCGACATTCCAAATGAAAGTTCTACTTTTAGATGCTATTGTTGTGCCATCTAAAATAGTACTATCTTCGAAAATAGTTCTTATCTTATGGAAGAGTATTTTTAAACTGTTCGTGAGATATAAAGTTTTTTTAAAAACCATAATGATAGCTGACGTCCAGACAATGCTATTCTGTTATCCAAATTTTAAATTAACTTCTTGAAAACCGAACAATTTATCAGTCCATTGTTAAAATTAGTGTAGTTTGCTATTCAGTTAAGACTCCACTCGTATGTTTTCAAATTGTCGAAGAACGCAACAGGACTTCCACAAGGGAATAATTCGGACCCAACTTGTTAATAGATCATAAGCAACGTACCGTATGAGGCAATTCGGTTGCCATTGCAAGTTGCACAATTGAACGGGATCTTCGAAGCCAATAAATATGTCAGCACAATGCCTGACACGACAGAAGGGCCCGATTTTTTTACGAGCCAAAACCGATTGCGATTTACGATCACCGCCTTGCGTTAGACACGAGTGAGCGCTCTCAATCGATTATGTCGATTATTTATTGATGTGATGCGCGGAATCGATCGGGCGTATTGTCGATCTTTAATTTGATTAAAGTTATTACGGTGAGATTTCTCACGAGATATTAGACCTATAAAAATATACACGAATTTATTGTTTTGTTGGGATTTAGAAACGACACAAATTGGTTTCTCGTACAGCTTGTCTTTGTATTTTTGTAATTGGTTTTTGCATTAACTATTG